GAAATCCCCAAAAAGCCTAAAATTTCTATCTATTTCATTGCACCTATTCCTTTTCCTTTCTCTCCTCTCTACCCCCAGATCAAACAAGGTCAAAATTGTCCACTTTTGCCCTTTTTTTACCATGGCTATTTTTTGCAAGAAATGAAAGGATGCAGCCAAGAAAAATTACTAGAATTTCTTGTCTCTTTCACATGCTTTTGAGCGGTAGCAAGCCCGTCTGGATGACAATATGGGAAGGGAGAGGCCGAAACAAGAATGGGTTCTATGAATCCTTTCTCAACTCAAAGCTTTTTACAATGAGATCGATTGTTTTCATAAATTTGACAATCAAACCCCAAGGACTCCATCTTACTCTCATGGAGGTGAGGATGAGTGGGACTCTTGTTATGGTATCAAGATTTTCCAACATCAAAGGAACTATTGTTGTGGATGAGTTTGGCAATTTTTCCAATTTGAATGGAATCTGAATAAGCAAAGATAAGCAAATTTGTGGAAAAAAGAATATTTTATTAAGTAGACCGGTTGTCTGTGGTCAAGGGTGTAGGTTTATGAGGTAAATGTATCGTTGTCTTTTATTTATATAGATAATGTATCTCAATTTTTAAATTATTTTAATAAGTCTAAATAGTTTGTTGATTATAAGAAATTTATTATTGTTTAATATATATCAAAAAATATAAAATTTTTTTATTAAAGAGTTATAAGTATTAGATTTATATAAAAATTGACTTATTTGATATCTATAAATAAATTTTTTAATTTAATAATCAATTTTTTAAAAATATTAATTGTAAAATAAGTTTTAAGATAAGTTCTTTAAAAAAAAAATTAGAAGAAAGGTTTACTCTATATTATCCTCTTAATTATTTTATCAATTAACGACTATAATTATCAACTATTCATAACAAAATTATGTAACATTAACAAAACGTTGTGAGACAATAACCAAGCTATGTCTTGTTTTCTCTTGTCCGAGAGCAGCCGCCTAGTTAGTGACAAAACCATGAACATGGTACCCTGCTAACCCATCAGACATTATTCCCAACATTAATTTTTCAAGAAATTAGGGGAATTGTGGGATCCTCCTCATTGTCTTCTAACTTGACAATCCCCAATCTAGTCTCAAACCATTGTCCCCCTGAAATACCATCCATGTCCATGGCTACCAATGAATAAGACATGGTGGAACAAGAATGTTGGTAAAAAATAAGGTGGTGTTTGTTTGCCAATATTAATTTATTCTCGCCTAGAAAGCTCAGGTTACTGTAGTATTTATACATCTAAATTTTATAATAAATAAATAGAGGGTAAATCTAGAATTTTAATCCATTTTCGTCATTAATACAATTCCAAACATTGACGCATTCTTTCTTACCAACTTTGAAGGGCTAAGTCTGCCCTCAACTTTTTTCATTAAGGCCCGTTTGGAAACTTTTCCCAATACTTTTTTTATTTCAATTTTATTTTTCTTAGCGGTAGGGTGTTATCAGGTTAAATTAGGTATATATTGAGGTTAATTCTTTTTTGTCCTAATTAAAAGTAGGTCATTCACTTCGTAACTTAAAAATCTTGGGAAATTATCTTCTTATTCATTTCTCTAAAAAATCAAACCTATATTTCAATTTCTTATTAAATATGAAAAAAATTAACAATCTTAACAAATCTTTATTATATAGTTATCAACTTTTCATATTATTTTAGAGAAAAAATACAAATAAGAATGCAAATTTTGTTAATTTTCACTTAAGGTGGTAAACTTTTAACTTTTTTATTTAAAATGTCAATTTTGTATTTTTTTTCTATTTAAAAATTAATTGAATAATTATATAGAAAAAAATAAAAAATTGATATTTTTAAATAAAAAAATTAAAAATTTACTGTTTTTCTTAGAAACTAATACAATT